CAACCAACAGCTGAAAGATATGTCACAATTGACCACGAAAGTAAGGTAAATTAAGCAGCTTAAAGCTGAGAAATATGCTCCTACAATAGCATAACAGAAATGTAAGGCTGAGCTTACAAAAAATAAAATAAAATCATATATATAGAGCAAATATTACTACAGCTTAAGTAATCCAGAAGAAATCGAGCTGGTCCGGGAGCAACCCATTCCGGTATTTGGATTCAGACAGCACAACACAGTATAACTCAACATGCTCTATTGTTACACGTCTACCCACCTAAATGTGTAACTCGACTCTATAATGATGCAAGACATATATCTCAGTATGATGCAGCATAGACAAAACCATATAATCAACAACTCAGCTAAATAGTTCATAATATTTTAGTCAAATCTCAATATTTTAAATCAATTAACAACAATTACAGCTTAGAAAATAGCTTTTATCCAAGAGATCTGACAAAATCATCTCAAAACTTCTTGTAATAGCATACCAAATTGTTCAAAACATCGTTTAATAGTTAAAGTAAATTTCCCTTACCTTAGAACAATGATTCATACTAGATCTATCAAATATTACTTGTTTTAAAGCAAGATCCACCGAAGATTTAGCTTTACAACGAAGTTTCTCCTAAGATATCATTAACTATCTATAAGAAAGAGAAGAAGAAGAGAAATAAATGGTAAATCTAACTTTAAACTTATAGAAATCTAAGTTTAGGAAGGTTTAATATGAGAGAAAATGGTGATATATGGCCTTGGGTCTCTCTAGAGCCTTTGAGAAGAGTGAAGAAATGAAAATTTCGTGCAAGGATCCCTATTTATAGGCAAAACTTTGAAAAAAAAAATTTGGTACTGTTCATACTGTTCTACTATTGATGGTGGAATTAATGCTCACACCGCATTATTGTTCACGTCAGAATTATTATTCACTTTTTTTTTCTTTAAACTCCATCTAAATCTATTCCAATACAAATAATCTTTCAATTAACATTTAACAAGTACAAGATATCATAGATTACTTAATAATAAATTACAGGCCTGACAATGGTCGATGTTGCTGACGAAGAAAAAGACTTATTCAACCTGACTATAGATGAATTTGAGAAGAAAGAAGCTCTAGATAAGACCTTGGAGAATTTTGAGAAGGAAAACACTAAAGTTTTCCTAAAAGCTAGAGATACTTTGTTGTAGTTTTTAACTCGAAAAATAAAGGTTGATAACAAAGTTATGTTGTGTTTGAGATGTAGTGCCATCTTAGACAAAGCAACAATCGAAGCTTTCAAGCAATATAAGATGAGGAAGGATTACCAGGTAACTACCAATCAGGTGATTACCAAGAACAAAGGGGAGCAAACTCAGAATGCTTCTACAACAATACGGGATCCTCAAATTGCAAAAATAGCAAGACCTTTATACCTCCTCAAAATGTTCCAAGCGACAAATGGGTTTGATATGTACCACATCCGGCTTTGGGTCGACCAAAGTGGTAATTGGTCGAAATAGGCAGGCCTTCTCAAACAAAAACTACACCTCAGCCTAAAGATTTTTCATAGCCTAAGGCTTTCGCTCAACCTGGTATCTATAACCCATTAGAGAATTATTTCTAGGCGAAAAGACCTTATTATAAGGCTCCCATGACTAAGACACAGTGGAGAAGGGCTCAAAAGAATAGGAAAGTTAAGTATAAGGCTCAAGAAAGTGCCATGAGAAATAAACAGTGTACTTTGGTAAGGGCTCAAGTCAGTGTGACTCAACGAAAAGCATCTGTTGAGAAAGAAGGACTAAAAATGAAGAGTCTTGTGATAAGATACGACCCAGATGATGAGCTAGTAACAAACATCTTCGAGTCGGGATTTAATGATGCCCCTCAGAGACATATTGGGGGTTGTCTCCATGTTACCTGCTGAATATGCCAATGTTGTTGGCAAGGGAGATGAGGATGACTTATATGCTGATGAGAAATTAGATGATAACCCCTTGGGTTATTGCATCCTAATAAAAGAGGGATTTCTTGTGAAGTCATTAGCTACTTTCGAGAAGCCGACTAAAGGGATGAAGAGCCACATGAAGCCATTATATATGGCGGCTCAAATCAATGACAAATTTTGAGTGAATAAGGTTCTCGTTGACTCTGGGGCAGCAATCAACCTCATGCCTAACTTTTTGCTAAAAAACGATCAGAAAGTTTGAAGAAGACTAGTTGCCCCAAAACATGGTTTTAACAGACTATGAGGGAAAGACCTCGAGCTCTAAAGGGATACTAATTGTCAATTTAAGAGTTGGATTCGTGTCTCGAGCAACTATTTTCGTGGTAGTGATTTCCAACACAAGCAACAATTTATTGCTCGGAAGAGAATGGATCCACAGAGTAGGAGAGATACCTTCATCACTCCAACAGAAGTTATGCTTGTGGAACAACGATGGGGTCATGGAATATGTCGACAGAGACCAAAGTTATTTTAAGGCTGAAATTTATGTTAGTAGCCTCGATAGTAAGACGTTCGACAAAGCCTTTTCTAACATTTCACCGCTCAACATGGAGGATGTGGGTGGCCCCTATTTTACCATGAATGTCAACTCACAAGCGTCCTATGAAATTCGACTAGATCCTTCATTGGGTTTTATGACTTCTAGAATGCAGTATAGGAGGCCAAGAAGAGTTTGAAATACAACGTAAATGATTGAGCCTTTTGGCTCGAATTTCAATTTATGTGGCTAAAAAACAAAATAAAAGTGCCTCTTGAAGCCATCGAGGTCCTAGAGGTCAACGAATCATATTTAGCCATTGAGTACATAGAAAATTCAACTTGCTTAGCCGAAAGATGGAAGGAAGCCTTTGAGGCCACAAAAATCGAGCAGCTCTCGATAAAGCCTTAAGAGTTGCTAGCAATCAAAGATATCCCCTGCACAGGATAAGAAAATTCGGTCTTATAGATCGATAGGAAATTTGGCTTGATTGCATTTATGATGACTCACTTATTAGTTTCAAGAATTCATCTCGAATAGAACAAAAATGGAGGGAAAAGTCTAAAATCTAATCTCATGAAAAATTTCTTGCCCTTTTTAAAAAAATTTAAAATACTAAAATCTCATAATTTGAGAAATTAATATTTTTGGGGCATTTGTTTGGGAGAAGAAAAATTTTCTAAGTTACAAAGTCCCTTATTAGACTTTCGTTGTAAGAAATAGACTATGTTCTTTTAAGGAGAAATACACCTCGAAATTTAATGGCACGGATATAGCTTTCAACTAAAATTAAAGGATCCTAAGCTCTCTCACTTTGACAAACTATGGACTTGTATAATTATCTAAGTCCCAAAATCCTATTTGATGATCTACTTTTCAAGGAGTTTTGGAGGATCTAGAGAAGAGTCTTTTCATACCGAAAAGACTACATTTTGAGGAATTTTTGAAGGGTTATGAGAAAGCTCATTCTTTGTTGAAGTGGGTAGCCTTTCGAGGAGTTTTTGAGGATTTTCAAGTCCTTAACAGCTAGAATTAGTCAAAAAATAGGAACTGACAGAGAAATTAATTTAAGTCCATGAGACTGAATGAACTCTTAGATTTTCCTAGAACTGCTCGAAAAACAGGAATTGACTGAAAAAATATTATAAGTCCACAAGACTGAATGAACTCTCAGATTTTCTCAAAATTACTCAAAAAACAAGAGTTAACAGGGAAATTATTTTAAGTACACAAGACTAAATGAGCTCCCAGATTTCCCTTAGAATTGCTCAAAAAATAGGAATTGATAGGAAAATTTCTAAGTCCACAAGACTGAATAAGCTCTCAGATTTCTCTTAGAATTGGTCAAAAAGTAAAAACTGAGAAAGAAATTATTCTAAATCCACAAGACTAATGAGCTCTCAAATTTCTCTAAGAATTGGTTGAAAAGTAAAAACTAGAGGAGAAATTATTCTAAGTCCACAAGAATGAATGAACTTAAATTTCTCCCAAAATTGGTCAAAAAGTAAAAACTGAGGGAGAAATTATTTTAAGCCCTTAAGACTAAATGAGCTCTCAAATTTCTCTCAAAATAGGTCGAAAAGTAAAAACTCAGGAGAAATTATTTTAAGTCCACAAGAGTCTTTGATAGATTTTCAACAGAAAATGACAAAGGAATCAGTCTAAGTTCTAAAGATAAGATGGAGCTCAAAAGGTGAGGAAACATATTGAAAGAACTGTAAAGTTCAATGTAATTACCCAAACATCAGTTACTTGCGGTTACCACCAGTTGAAGGTCAGAGACACAAAGAAATAATCGTGGGTGACACCAATTATAGAGAAACTATGATCATGAGTAGTTATGAATAGTAGGCGACAACAATTGAGAAAAAGCACGTATAGAAGGCGGTTATCAAAAAGTGCCTACAAAAGGAGCAGATTGGTTGAGATATATCGCTTATAAATATTATAAAGCTTCACATTTCCCAGGGATGACTTTTTGCACCCCAAAATCTTTGCATACTGAAATTCTGAGTTTGATTTCCAGTTTGTTTGTTTAATTTCGTTTCAAGAATATAATTTCTGTAAAACTTTTACGTCCAATCAAGTTCTGCGTAGCTACTATTTAATATTCTTGCTTAATATTTTGCTTACGACATCAATTTGATATTACATTTAACAATACACTTAAAAAAACTTGAAACGACCTAAAATTCAGTCTCCTATATTACTCTTAGATTTATTTGTTTACATTCTGCAAATTTTCACCATAATCAGCTAGATAAAAAGAGAGACATAAAATGATACATCACACAGTATACCTTATTGCACACAAGTCTTGCCCCAACATTCAAGTTTAGTTGACATATTGAACATGATTGTTTACGAGGCATCTATTCCCAAAGGACAACCATCAATGGTTTACAGTGATATATAGTAATTAATTTATAATGAATTTCTCTTTTTCTAAATATAAAAATATAATTTTCTCACATGGAGTTACATATTTTCCTTATTTTCCTTCTTTTTCTATTTGTGCAACTTCACCAGCGATGTTAACTATTCTCGACTTGTCTAGTAACTTACTAGCGGGGACACTTCCAGATTGTTGGGGGAAATTTCAAAGATTAAGAGTTCTAAATCTGGCAAAAAATAATTTATCAGGGAGGATACCCAAGTCATTTGCCACTTTACAACGTATTGAGTCGATTAATTTAAATAGCAACAACTTCTCTGGTGAAATTCCATTCCTGACCTTCTGTAGCCGATTACGATTTATTGATTTTGGGAATAACAATCTCCAAGGAACGTTACCAGCATGGGGAGGCCATAAATTGGGCCAATTGATGGTGTTGAGTTTAGAGGCAAATAAATTCAATGGAAGCATACCTACAAGCCTCTGTAGTCTTCCATTTCTTCAAGTGCTGGATCTCTCTGACAATAACATTATGGGGAAAATTCCACAATGTCTCAGTCGCATAATTGCATTATCAAATACGACGTTTTCAAGAGGAACCATTTTGCATAATCCGGATGGACTAGTCCCCGGGATCCTTGATAAAATAATTTCGTATAGAGGATTCAGTTGGTTGCATGATAAAGAAATTCCCGGATTCATTGACAACGCAATGTTGGAATGGAAAGGACAAAACAGAGAATACCAGAAAAATCTAGGACTTATGACAATCATTGATCTTTCTTGCAACCAATTAACAGGAGAAATACCAGAAAGTATAACAACACTTGCCGCATTAGCTGGTTTGAATCTCTCAAGAAATAATCTCACAGGATTCATTCCCGACAGTATTGGTCATATGAAAATGAAAATGTTGGAATCACTTGACTTGTCAAGAAACCATCTTTATGGAAGAATCCCAGCAAGCTTTTCAAACTTGACTTTCCTCAGTTACATGGACTTGTCTTTCAACAGCTTGTCAGGGAAAATTCCAAAGAGCACTCAGTTACAATCCTTTGATGCCTCTGCATATAAAGGAAATGCTGGACTCTGTGGTCCACCACTCCCAAATCATTGCCCAGGGGATGCTGTTTCGCCAAATGGAAGCATCGATAAAAATAGTGTTGAAGAAGATGGAGACGAAGATGAACTCGTAAGCATTGGTTTTTACATCACCCTGGGGTTTGGATTTTGTGTTGGATTCTGGGGTGTTTGTGGAACTTTTATTGTAAAAAGTTCATGGAGACATGCTTATTTTCAGTTCTTCAACAACTTGAATGACTGGATATGTGTGACCCTCATTGTCTTTATGGCTCGAATGAAAAGGAGATTCCAAGTTCAAGACTAAAAGGTAAAGTATTTCATTTTTTATTAATATGAAAATTACTCAAATTTTCAATATTTTAGCCTAAAGTGACGTTCAAGTATGATTACTATTTTGTAGGAAGCACTTTATTAAACTGATTGGTTGTTAAGAAACTACTAGAGTTAAGCAATAAATCTCAGGATTTCAGATTATTTTGGATTCACAGAGAGAGAGAGTAATAATGGTGGCTGGGTTTTGGCAGGGATGAAAAATATGTGCTGATGAATCATCTTGCAAGTTAGATGGATTTTCCTTCACTTTCCCTTCTTGCCATTTCTGTTTGTTGATCTATCTGAAATTTCTATTTTGATAAAAATTAAAAGGATTAACCTATATGTTTCTTTGTAATTTGTGTTTCATTACAATTCTCATGCACAGTTAAAATTAAAATTCTAAATTGCAATTCAATTTCATGCACAAAATTAATCTCAACGTTTGAACAATTTTATTTTCATTATAAAATCTAAATTTACTGCCATTTTTAATATAGCTTGATTTATATTTACAATCATCAGTCATTTTGATTTCTGAAATAGCTAATGTTTAATAGGCTGACGAAAATGCTGATGAGGCATGCAGGTTAAGTATGATGTGAGATGCGCATGTAGCTTTAACTTTGGATGACATGAAATCTAAGTTTCTTCAGTCTTGTCATCTACATTTTCAACTTCAACTCGATGTTCTTCTTCCTTTGTTCTTGCTTCTCCTTTTGCGACCATTGCATTACTCTCTGAATATATATACCGACTTCCAGTAATATTTTCTTACATCGTTGCTAATTACCATCGCAATAAAACTAGGGTTGTGTTTGGATAGGTAAATTAATTATTTTAAAAGATTTAAAAATTTATAAAAATATTTTAAATTTGGATCTGACTCTCACATACTTGGTTGGATGTGGTGGGTGAGTCTACCACTTGAAAAATTTTAACTTGGGATTTTGCTTAAGCAATACCGAACAACTTGACATTTATCGACCTCTGTTGATCATTTTAGATTTTTTTCGGATAGAGTAATTAAATTGTAAATTATTTTAAAAATGAATTACTCATTTAAAATAATTTGTCCAAATATATTTTAAAAGTTACCAATTAAATTAGAAAATATTTACAATGCATAAATTTTTCCACACTAAATACTTTAACTTTGTTTTCATTGTAATATCATTTACAACATAATGTATGAAGAAAATATTTTGAAGAATGTCATGGTAATATCAAATAAATAAAATATAATGACTATTAATAAATTAAATATTAAATATACTAACTAAGCATTCTAGTTGATTATACTTAGATATTAAGATGATAATTAGACCAAATTTTAAAATTAACCAATGATACCTATAAATAATATAAACCACATAACATTAAAATTAAAATTTAAGAAAAATTTTATTATTAAAGAAAAATTATTGTTTTGTTCTTACAAACGAGAGAGATATAAAGATAAGAGAAAGAAGGGAATGATTAAATGGGTAATATAGTAAAGAGGAAGAGAGAAAAATTTATTATTATGTTTTGTTAGAAAGAATTGCTACAGAAATAACATAATTTAAACTTTAATAACTTAAAGTAGCCGTGAGAAAAACAGTGAATTTATAGCTGTTGATATTTTCATATTAAAAATGTCCTTTGCATGCAATTGAGGTATGATATTGGAATTAAACCTTCGAATTTTAGTGATGGTGTTCGTAAGTCTTTTAGAATTAAAATTACAAGTCTAATGTTTTATTTTATGGAATGTATATCCTTAATCCAAGATATTAAAATGGAATTAAAATTTAACTTAAAATTACAATTTACACTGATTACTTACGCAATTTAAATATAAAAATTATGATTCTACATTGATTCTAATTGTAATATTTAAAACTAAAATTCTAAATCACAATTGAAATTTATGCACCGAAATAATCTCGGTGCTCATTTGGCTTACAAAATTGAGTATAGAATTGGACGTTAGAATTGAAATTGAGTTTCAGAATTTTAATTCTCATGTTTAGATGTCTACTTAAAATTAAAATTATAATTGACAATTTCATGCAACTCTATAGCAGTTAAATTTGGCTCACTTCAATTCCTACCCTAAACCTAAGAATTTAAATTCCTAATATCATAATTATAAATACACTCTCACTTATAGTGCTTCCTCCTTCTTCTTGTTCTTCCCGATATACTTTCTTTTTCATGTACTTTCTTCTTTTCTCTCTCCCTTTGTTCTCTATTTCCCCCATGCATCTTTTTCCCTCTTCTTATGTTCTCCTATTTTTTCTGTACTTTCTTCTTTTTTTAATTCTACTTTTACGTTAATTATTAATGTCACTTTTGTTCTCTTTTTTTTTTCTCTATTATGTTCTTCCTCCTTCGTTTTACATAATTATTGATATGATTATAATTAAATATAAAATACTGAATCATTGAGAGTATAATTATAAATACAATTATAAAGAAATTGTCCCCTCTTTCTTCAGATAAATAAAAGAGACTAGATAGAAGTTATGAAATTCTCTATTAAGACTTCACTTTCACGGTCTCATGGTAATTGCAAGATAGGAACTTTCTCTCAACAATCCAAGAGGAGAGGAGTTAAAACAGGAAGGAAGAGTTGGAAAAAATACAAAGGACTCAAAGAGAAAAGTAATATCAAGGAAACAATGGATTCAATTTAATGCTCTCTAAACCCTTAATTGTGTGAGAACATGTGTTATGTTTTGAGAATCATGTAATTCAAGATCAAATGGGAATGATAATTTCATAATAGTTATATCAAATAAAAATTACATAATGAAATAAAACCTTACAAATTATAGATAAAAGTGATTTTTTTATTTCTCTTTTTCTTGTTCTTCCTATTCTTCTTTTTACATCTTTTTTTCTCTTTTTTACATTTGTTTTTTATTCTTCTTTCATATCTTCTTTCTTTCTCTTTTTTTTATATTTGTTACATGTTTAATATGTTTATGTTTATGAGAGAAACAAAAAAGGAGAAAAAACTAGTGCTAGATGCAAAAGACTGAATAAAAAATATATTTTTAAGGCGATTATATCATGAACTAAAGAAATTTTTTATAATTAATTATGTCTTATTAAACAAGTTTTTTTTTTTAATTTTGAAACATTTTACGTGAAAGAGAAGGACAACAAATTGAGTCTATTAATTTAGATGGCAACAACTTTTCTGGTAAAATTCCATCCTTGACCATCTATAGCCGATTACAATTTATTAATTTAGGGAATAACAATCTCCAAGAAGGAACATTACCAGCATGGGTAGGCCATAAATTGGGCCAATTGATGGTGTTGGATTTCGAGGCAAATAAACTCAATGGAAGCATACCTACAAGCTTGTGTAATCTTCTATTTCTTCAAGTGTTGGATCTCTCTAAAAATAATATTAGTAGGAATATTACAGTGTGTCTCAGTCACATAATTGTTTTATCAAATACGAGGTTTTCGAGACAGACAATGGTTTATCCATTAGATCATACTGTGCTTATGAATCCTGATCAAATTCCCAGTTTCATTGACAAAGCAAAGTTGGAATGGAAAGGACAAAACCAAAAATATGAGAAAAATATAGGACTTATGACAATCATAATTCATAAACAGAAAAAAAGTATTTCTTATTTCAGTTGTAAATGTAGTAATGCTTAAATTTCTAGTGAGAAGAAGCAATGAGGAAAGAAGAAGTTGATAGCAGTAGAATGGTAGTCTCCAGCACCAATCCCCACCACAAGGAGATAGCCATCCGGAGGAAGATTGCTAGCATGTAACTATTTTCTCCCCTTTTCACATTTATCCTCTATGCATGTGCATGATATGTCTCTCTAGTTCTCAACTTGTAATAAAAGAATAATACAGATGCATTTAATTAATGCTAAAATAATCCTGCAGAATTTGAATGCTAAATTATCTGTTATTTTTTTAGTAAAATTTGATATAAGGTGTATTAGTATAGTGTCATTTTTGGTGTGTAGTATTTCATTAGTTATTTCTTTCTTTTTCTTTTTGCGCGTTTGGTATGGTCAATGGAGTTTATCACATGACTGCACTTCTTTTTTGTGAGATTTATGGAAATTATTTTTTGTTAATTTATGCATTCATTTCTAAATCACTTTGTTAATGTGTGTATTTCTTTCTTTTGATAAGAAACTTGTAATTGGTTTGGCTCTCTGAGCTTGTGGTTGGAAAGGAAGCCTGTGATTCATGATTGCATTGAATTGGAATATAAACTTTCTTTTTTAATCTTGAGTTACTGGTTTTAATTTCTGATTCATAGTTATGCAGATTTTAGTTTCTTGTACTAACTAACAGCTTGTTTTTCTGCTTAATTACCTGTTTCTTAAAAAGAGAGTGAGAGAAAATAGCATTTCCACCATGATCAAATCGGAGCTTCAGCTGAGACCATCTCCTTCACTTCCTGTTATTACTTCTCTGAGCTTGTTACAAGTTATGATGAGTTTGTGTGTTAGGGGACTAATAATCACCTAGAGCTGTTGGAGAAGATGAATGTAAAGCTGACAGAAGAGTACAAAGGGTTTGGTGAATTTGCTTCAGGGTTGAAATTTTTTTGTGGAACTGTTGAAATGCTAGAGTGGTAGCTTTAATTAGTATTTTGAGCAGAATTGTTAAAATAGACAAAGCCAGCATAGACAATGCCTGGCTTTGTCTAGTGTTTCCCTCGCACAGGGATGTACTGGTAATTCTGATAAATCTAAATCATTTCATACAATTAGAATGTGACACAAATCTCTAGAATAGCCTAAAAAAATATTAAGAATAAACTATAATAGAATCCATTTGTAACTGTTACAAATATAGAAGATATTGTGAGTTGTACACATTACTTTTCTCAATAAAATTTAAGCTTACGTTACATGATTATTTTAAATAAAATAAATTTAAAACAAAGAGTAATATTCTTATTATTAATAAAAAAAACATTATATTATATTACATAAGATTAAACCCAAGAGATGA